AGTTCTTCCCTCTATGCCTAAATTGCCTGCACCAAACAACACCAAGGTCGCCTTGCACCATAACAATAAACTTAAGAGCCCACATACCCCACAGTTTCCAGCAAAAGTTCCACTTAAAGTGGGCCGCCATCTCTTTTACACAATTGGTTTGGGCGCAAGCCCATGTTCCACTTGTCAAAATGGTACACAACTCACAGCTTCATTGAACAACATAACCTTTGTGATGCCAAAGATTGGAGCAGGCTCATTATTTCAATATCAAAGTAGTGTTCAGAACTGACTTTCCTAACCGTCCTCAAATTCCATTTAACTACACAGGTGTACCACTTGCTGCAAACCTTGGCACTTCATTAGGAACAAGGCTCAGTAAGGTGGCTTTCAATTCCACCATTGAGCTGGTACTACAGGATACCAATCTTCTCACAGTAGAGTCACACCCATTTCATCTTCACGGTTTCAATTTTCTTGTTGTTGGAAGTGGTGTTGGAAACTTTAATCCCTCCAAAGACCCTGCTAAGTTTAACGTTGTCGATCCACCTGAGAGAAATACAGTTGGGGTATCAACTGGAGGATGGACAGCTATTAGATTCAGAGCGATAGTCCAGGTAATTTTTTTACAGATAAGACCCTGCAAACAAATTGACTCTGACATGATACCTATTTGAACTTACTGTGGCTCTTTTGACTGCACGAGCAGGCTTTTGGTTTATGCATTGTCACCTGGAGCTGCATACTATGTGGGGTTTAAAGATGGCCTTTGTTGTTGAGACTGAGCACTCACCAGAAGAGTCTATTGTACCACCACCGAAGGACCTTCCACCTTGCTAGACAATGGGAAAACGATTTGTTAATTCTTTCTTGATGGAGCAACAATTCTTTGCTTCTACATTTTACGTGTTTATTTCATCTTTGTTTTCTTGTAACAAGATCCCCTGCAGCAGTACCAGGCCATTCTTTTGGGATGGAAATGTCCCAAGATCCAAATGCTTTATTTGAGATTGTTTTGAGGCTGCATGAAAACCCCATTTATTTGAGATTGTTTATGTGATACCAAGTTTCATCAATGAAGCTTTATACTTACTTCAAAATAGATACTGTCCATTTTCTTGACAGAAATGCTTGTGGTATTGAATATTGATTGGTTGTTGTGATTGTTGGAAAAATCTACACAATGAAAACCTTGAAGAGGTAGTGCTTCCTATTTGTTAAATACAAGCCTGTCATTTCGTGGAATAATCTGAAACGCGCCATTACTATTTAGGCTGCAACAAACAGAGCAAAAATAGAACAATGAGCATAATGATAATGATCAATTATGTTGCAGCTCAACTTGTCCCACAACTGAAGTAGGGAAAGATGAGGTCAAGGCTTAGAGAAGAATGGTCCAAAAGAACAAGAATATTGCAGTATTCACCTTCACAGTGCTTCAACATTTGGAGGTTTTTCATTCATTCTTCCTACTTTTTTTTAGAAGAATGGTGCAATTACCATTAGGTTATGCTTTTTATAATTTTGAGTATGCCTTAATTGACAATGGTAGGTCGTCATATCTAAAACGAGAAACATGCAAGGAATAAAGTAATAAAATACTGTAAAGACTCACAAAACACAAAAAAAAAAAAAAAAAGACAAAGAAAGAAAAAGAGCTGATCTTCTCTTCAAAAGTTGCAAGACATTTACCAATAATCTCGATACTATTCTGCACAATTAATGGAGAATAGAGATGGAATTCAATCTCATTACACATTAAGGGCCAACTCTACAGGTAATTCCAAATCTGTTATGCAGGCTCTATTTTATCCTCATTCTTTGAAGCCTATTTTTGTCTTTTTCTGTCGCCCTAGCTTAAACTAATAAACTTTACAGTAGATTTTGTCAATGCCTGCCTAAATAACACTTATTTATGTTTTATGATATTTTAAAAAAATATTTAATATATTAAAAAATTATTATTTTATATACAATTGAAAAGTTTTTAAATTTTGTCATTTGTCTTTTTATTTATCATATTAATTTATTAATTTATTAAAATTATTTTTTAATGGGACATGTAGCAATTTTTTAATTCCACTGATAGAGTTTAATTATACAAAAATATATGGAGTTAAAACTCCATCGATTGTATAGTGGTTAATTTTTCATATGATCTGTACCTGCCAGTCTGCCACCACAAATAATAAAAGAATAACAATGTACATTTAGTATTCACTTTGTGCAATAAAGTATTCAATTTCCCATTAAACAATTTTCAAGCAATAAGAAACCTCAATATATATCAATCAAGTAGCTGTTAGATTCTGCCCTTTTGTGTCTTTCAATCTGCAATTGTGGATGGCATTCGCACCTTTTAGTCAACTTGCCTTTTTACATCAGAGTGATTACTCATTCATTTTCACGTTTTATGCTCAATCTATTTGCTTTTGTTGAAGAAATCTCTTTTCTGTCTTTGAGTAATCGTCAAAGTGGTAAGAAGATACAATTACTCAATGGGTTTTAATGCAAATAATGATTAACAATCATTCAAACGAGTTGTGATATACATAATGAGTAATAATTATTGAAATTTCATTATGATCATTGAGTGTAATGGTTACTTAAAAAAAATTTAAAATGAAGATCTCTTAACTCTCTTTATATCTAACTCATCGTATCAAACTCTCTATAACATCTCAAAAGTAAAATTAATCCATGAATCCTATCACTTGTTTTAAATTATTTTCATTATTATTCACATGATATAATTGTCCTACTCGTTTTAGTTCTTTTCATTACTCTATGTATAACATTATGCTTAATCTAAAATAATTGTTAGAGTAATAATAAGTTAGTAGTCAAAATCAAACACTTGCATTTTACGTTTTACATAAGAGTTCTCGACTTAAGAGGTTCTTATACATTAATAGTAATGTAGAAGTGAAAGATAAAGTAATTTGTAAGAATAAATTTAATGCTTGACTTAGGGAAAAGTTATGTATATTGTTGTAATGCCTTGTGCACGAAAATATACCAGCACAACATGTACGCTTTAAGTGGTGGCTATTTATGCTTTATGTATGACTTCATGCTCAAGGGCGAAGCCAGAGTACTTTTCAGGGGGAGTCAAACAGAAAAAAACACTTAATAGTCTAGCAGAACTTTATATACTATACTATTGGGCTGGAGCATTTTAAGAGGGGCCAAATCCTATTCCTAAGGAAACTCTTTTTTTATTTTCTATTTGTATTTTTTTTTATTTTCTATTTGCCTCTTCAATTATTAACTAATATATTGAGTTATTGAGTTAGACTTCTAAGATATAATATATTATGATTAAATTTATATTAAGATTTAATGAGTTTGGGTTAGAAAATGCACTCTTATTTTTTAAAATCTAATAGACTTAGTGTCATGATCCACATCATCCCTTGTGATGTATTGTTTACTTTGGCCCGCTAGTCTCACAGTTTTGTCTCATAAAAAATGCCTTACAGTTAAAAGGTGATGTGAATCTTTAAATATCCAGTATAATTCTAGTATACAACCAATATGAGATTTATAGCTCTACTCGCTAAGAGCATATCTCTTCGATGTGGGATTCACATGGTTCTACACTAGGACTATGACATCTTCCCATACTCCAACAAAGATCCACTATTTTCAATGGCACATTGCTACTACCCCAAAGTCTACTTTAATACCAACTGTTACGATTCATCAAGTATTGTTCAATGGCACATTGCTATTACCCCAAAGTCTATTTTAATACCAACTGTTACGATTCATCAAGTATTGTTCACTTTGGCCCACTGGCCTCATGATTTTGTTCCACAAAAGGTGCCTTACTGGTTAAAGGCGATATGAATTCTTAAATGCCCAATATCATTCTAATATATAGTCAATGTAGAATTTATGGCTCTTATCTAGGACTATAACATCTTCTTATGGCTCCCCACTAAGAGCTTCTCTTTGATGTGGGATTTATGACTCTACCCATTAGAAGCATATCTCTTCGATGTGGGATTCATATGATTCCACACTAGGACCGTGATACTTAACGTATAATGTTAGAATTTATATGTTGGGCTTAGCTAATAAGTGTTTGTTTCACAATATTTTGAGGGACCATGTTAAAAAAATTAAAAAAAAAAATTACGTGTAAAACTAAATTATTTTGGGGGGCCCCTTTCTTATCAAGAGAAGCCTCCTTTGTTCATGCCAATGTCTTGCGTGCCTTATCATAGATGCTTTGTGCGTAGGGTAAAATCCAAAAACACCCCTCCAATCACTTTATAAGAACATTTTGGTCCCTCTAGCTTTAAAATAATTCTTTTGGTTCTTTGACTATTAACATTGTAAGTCAACAATTAAAAAAATGCAATGCAATATTGCATAAATATTTTAGACATAAATACCCTTTTTTATAAAAAAATAATCTTTTTTCTCTTCCAAAAATCTTTAAAAAAATTAAAGAAATTTTGATACATTTTCTTCAAATTTTCATCTTTTGCATTTCGATCCACCTAAAGAATTTTGTAATAATCAACACTTATTCTTTGAATTCCATTTTTCTTCTGGTAACTTGAAGAATTTTCTCTTCTCTCTTTGGATTTTGTTTTTTTTCTCTCCAATTTTAACGTTTTTTCTTTTTGAAAGATAAGATCATTGTATTTATCTGGGGAGAAGTTACAAAGTGTTGTTTCAAATTTTCACCAGCTTAGTTTGAAAACTTTACACAACAACCTACAACCCTTTTACAGAAATTATAGAAACTTGAACCAGCATGAGTGTTGGGTTGCCTTGCAAAAAGGATACCTACGCTTAGTGTGTTCAGAAAGATTATCACACCTTTTACTATTTGTGTCAATACAAAAAACTAATATCATCAAAATTAGATGATTGTCAAACTCAAACCTAATAACAGCATACACAATACTCCTCACCAACAAGACAATCTATTATCTAAATTCTTTAATTTTTTTTATAATATCAATAAGGCCTCTTTCCACCAATATAAAAATTCTCATCAAATTTGAAAAATCACAAGAATTGAAACACCACACACAAAAAAAAAAACTTGCAATAAGGTCAGATATTTCCACCATTCACCCATAGGCAAATCCCACATGTCATCTAAATACTAAAAAAAGAGACAAAACTCACTAGTGTTTTGATTTGACAAATCATAACTTTGGTTTTTGTAACTAAAGGAATTTTGATTTGAAAGAAAAAACGAAGTACAAAAAAAATTATTGATATTTCTAAGCCTCTGCCATTTGAAGAGGATAAGCTTCACTAACATTGATCTCGTGGAAGCTACATATATCAATGTCTTTCATTTCATTTCTTCTTTTATCTTTTTTGTGTTTAGAATCCCATTTTTAACAATTATTTATTTTTTATCAAGGTGTTAGGAAGAAGCTTAGCTGATTTTTTTTTCAAAAACCATGTGTCTAAATTGAAAAAAAAATGATATAAGGGTCATTTGTGTCATAAAATAGTTATATGATATTGAGTCATATATATTTTTTTAACTATTGACTAACAATGTTAACAATCAAAGGGCCTTAAGTGTCATTTTCAAACATGAGGGATCAAAGCGTCTTTTTAGAGTGATTAGAAGGGGTGTTTGGATTTAACCTTTATGTGTACGTCTCTAATTAATGCTTTTTTCTTGTCTTTGCGTGGTAACATTTTTTTTCTTGCTTTTTTGGCCCTTGCTTGGATATTATTTTATTAAAAATAATATATTTTCCATGCATGAGTAAGATGATAGAAAAAAAAAAGAATTTCAAGGTAAAGAGGTTTTTTTTTTTGATAGTAAGGTAAAAAGGTAAATTAATCATAAAAGGAAACTAATTTCAAAAAAGAAAGGGAAAGTAAATCCTTTTCATAAAAAATCTTGATTCTCTAAGCTTTATAAACACAAGTTGTTGTAAAAATAAGAATGTCAATAGGTACCTTA